CTGCCAGCCTCCTGCTCTGTGTCTAGACAGAGGCACCAGCGCTGCCGGCTGAGACAGAGCCCAGCAGATTTCCACAGCTCCTGTGAGGGCAAGTCAAAGGTGGGTCCGTCAGCCCTGCAGACCGGTTTGGGGGAAGAGAAGGTGGGGAGAGCGGGTGCCTGCTCCTGGAGTCTCCGGAGCCACGTCCGTGGTACAGCTCAGCAGAACGTGGTTCTTGCTGGGACAGCCTTCCAGGGCCTGACGGGTCCCAGACCCCACTGGCACGGCGGAGGGCGTCTGGACGGCTGCTCCGGCTTGCAGAGCTGCTCCCAGGGCAGGGGAGATGCTGAAACGCCGTCAGGGCTTATCCAGTACCCACACCCCGAGGAACTGCCCTTTCCCGCGGCCATCTCTGGCAGCAGCAAAGTCCGATTTCCTCTGGGAGGTGGCTGAGTGGTTTCAATTACAGCCAGAACACGGCTCCCCCGGGGCTCCCACTCCCTGGGTCTGGCCCCAGCTCAAGGCTTGGGAGGGGAAGTTTAAGGAGTAGGGGTGCCCGAGGCAGCGACTCGAGACGTGCCCTCTGGGGGATCCTGGCTTATTCTTCCCCAGAGCCAGCCCACAGCGTCGATAAAGAGAGACGTTCCTCCAGCTCCTGGAGCTGAGCCACCGCCCGGGATCTGAGAGTCCAGCTGGGCCTTTCTGGCCCCATCCCCGACGAAAGGTTCTGCCATCGGAGCTGGGCGTGTAACGGTTGGGGGGGTGAGCCGGAAGCTGCTGCTCTGCGCCCCCCGCCATGCAGGCGCCACAGGGCTCAGAGGCAGAGAAGGGAGCCAACGGGACGGTTCTGAGTGGCAGCCGAGTGTCTGGGGCCTGGCTCGGCCGTCGGGGGCTGCCACCGGCAGAGCGAGAGGCTCCGCAGGGGCCGGGCTGCAGTTCCCACGGCTGGCAGCCGGGCAGAACACGGAGCACGCAGCTCTCGGGCAGCATGTGAACCCCTCTCCCGCCCTCCCTGTGCCAGTCTGCCGAGGTCCCCCAGCCTTGGGGGGCGTCTCCGGCCTGTGCCCGCTCACCCTGGCCATCGGCATCTTGTTGGCTTCCACGTAGAGGTGAGGAGTCCGCACTTCGTACAGGGCTCCGTAGTCCAGCTCCTGCAAAGGACAAGCGCAGGGTTCCCATGGGAGGCGAGCCCACAGCTTCCCCCTTCCCCGGCTCTTGGGGGGCAGCTCGTGGGGACAGGGGAAGGGACTAGAGAAGAGCTGCCGGCTGGCCAGGAGCCCCTCCTCTGATGGGAAGTGGTGTTATGTCAGGCGACCGGGCGGTATAGAAAGGTCTCTGCTGTGTGCCCCAGGCTTCAAAGGGCAGCATGGCCCTAGGATCAAGCCAGAGCAGTGCATGCTGGGACATGTAGTCTGCACTTGCCACACCTCTGCCTAAAGATGAGCGCACCAGCAATCTGATTGGCCGGTCCCTGGGATTGCCCGCCCCTTGCCAATGCACCCCCTGCGCAAAGCTTCGGGACCCCGGGATGCAGCCGGGTTCGGCCTTTCCAAGATTCTGGGGGGTAGCCAGACAGTCCCCCCATATTCACCCCTGAGCCCAGCTGTAGGGCCCCTCTTCCCCTCTCTGGTGCCCTCTGTGGGGCTCCCCCCAGACTCACAGCCGTGCCCATCTTCTCCAGCGTCTCCTCGTTGATGGGGTAGCGGAGTTTCATCTTGCGGTACAGCGGGTGCTTCTCGTAGTAGCTCACCAGGTCCACCAGGCTCTCGAACTCGGCTGAGCTGCCCAGCATGAAGAGCCGGCCCTCTTGCTGGATGCGGCAATGCTTGATCTTGCCCTCCGCTCTGTGACAACACACCCCGGAGGGCACGTGAGGAGGGGCTGGGGGATGGCAGGTGGGACGTGCCTTGTGTTGGAGGGGAGGCATTTCGCCCACCTGGAAATGCAGCTGCCTCTGGGGTGGACGGCAGCCGCCGGGCAACA